CCCATGGTTAATCCGGCGTTGCTTATTATTATCATCCTAATACATGAGAGACAATTCTATTTATTGGTTATCTCCCTTCACTATCTAACAATAGCGTAAACATATTCTTAACTTTATTTTCTGAAATAAATGACTTCTTTTGGGCATAACAATCAGACTAAATTAAGATATTTTGCATATCATCATTTTTAAGTGGTTTGCTGTTCAAAGATACATATAAATATTGGTTGCCAGGCAACAAAACATACCTTCCATGCAGCAAAGCAGCAAAGTCCTCTGGCAGTCCACTAGCCTAAGATGTAACAACCCACATAGGCATACGAGCCAGGGGAGGGGAGGGGGCTGCCTCCTTAACTTTCGGGCAATTTTACTTTTCGGGTAGACGGGTAAAGTGAAAACAAAAATTATTATTTTATCTAGTTGGCAAAATAAAGTACTCGAAATCTAATAAAACACCAATTTTACTTTTCTTTTAATTGAATACCACGAATTTGTATTGAATTGACTATGAATTAAAACATTTTGTCTGAAGTCACTCTACTTAGTGCGACATTTTCGGGCATTGATTATTATTTGAATGCAGCTGCAACAGTCTGATTGGATGGTTGGAATTCAGGTCCGCATTGAGTGGGATTTCGGTTACAAAACCATTGGACAACTTTACAGTTGCTTGACTCACGGGCTAGAATAGCAGAAAAACGCATTTGCGACTGTTTGTGATTCGGGTCAGCCACCTCAGGTTTTGGCTATATTGGACCATATTGAAGTTGCGAAGTTGTTATATTCAAGGGCTGAAATAGCAGGAAAACGCGTTTACGGCAGTTAAATTTTCAAAATGTTCTCCCGACGGTCCCCTGCCTCCGTGAACTGTAAACGATTGATTGGTTGATTGGAATTCGAGTCAGCCAGCTTGGCTTGTTAGACCACATCGAAGTTGCTGTATTCACTGGCTGGAGTGGTAGGAAAACGCGTTTGCGGTCGTCAAATTTTCCATTTTTATTTATTTTTTTGGTGGGGGGGGACTAACCCGAATTTTTTCGGGCCTTTCGAGTCCCCCCCCCCCAACAGTCATCCAGCCAGTACGTCAGTGACACCCCATGAAGTAATTATCAGTAATAATTAAATTTTAAATGGCATCTGACGTCTTGTTCTTCCTAGCCTTAATAAAATTGTACCGGTAATGAGATTAAGGATGATAACGTTTGACTCTAGGTTGACCATCAGATTTTCAATTTAATCAAGGGTCATAACTCTGTCAATAGGATTTGTCATCATATGGTACAAAAATACTGTGTATAAATTAACTTCAATTAAGTCTCTAGAGCATCCACATGATTTTTCAAATTTGACTATAAATTCGTGGGGGAGGGGGTGGGCTGACAGTCCATCCCAGTGCCACCGTGTAATGTTGAGCTGTGTGGAACATGCTAGAGTTGATTTGTAGCATATCTGAGCACAGTATATATTTGACACTGGTTGAGCATTATGATTATGATTATAATATTAACCAGCGGCTGCCAGGCAGGATACGCCCACATCAAGAGATGGATAGAGAACAAGCTAAAACAAACGTGACATTTTTGTACAATCAGGACAATAATCCAGAACGTTATGGCCTGAAATGTGCAAATATCAAAAGGGACAGAGATCTTTGGAATATAAAGATATGTTTTAAGTTTCATCAAAATCGGATAAAAATTGTGACCTCTAGAGGGTCCACAACCTTCGTATTACACCTTTCTACACAATTTGCGTACAAAGAGCGGCCATTTTGTCGGGCAGTTTCATTTCGATTTTCCCGAAATTCGAATTCAACCTTCATTATGGTGGAATGGTGATGTATTCAAATCGGAAAAAAATTGTGACCTCTAGAGAATCCACAAGCTAAAAATGCGATTTTTCAAACAATCAGGGGCCATAATCCAGGAAGTTAAGTTCGGGTATCTGCGATTATCAAAAGGAACGAAGATCTTAGTGTATAATGGTGATATATTCACACGTTTCTTTTTTTAAATCGGATAATAATTGATTTTTTTGTTCATTCAAGGGCCATAATTCAGGAAGTTACAACCCGATATGCGCGAATATCAAAAGGAACCAAGATCTGTGGATTATAAACATACAGTATTTTAAGTTTCAACAAAATGGGATCAAAATTGTGACATCCAGAGGGTCCACAACCCTGATACACAATATTTTGACACTATTTGCGAACGAGGGGGCGGCCATTTTGTCTGTCAGTTTCGGTCGATTTTTACGAAATTCAACCTCAACCATCCTTAGGGTGTAACGGTGATATATCCAAACGTTCTTTTAAATCGGATAAAAATTGTGACCTCTATGGGTCCACAAGCTAAAAACTCAATTTTTTGTGCAATCCAGGGCCATAATTCTGGAAGTTATGGTCCGATATGCACGATTATCGAAAGGAAAAAATTTGATTTCAACAAAATCGGATAAAAATTGTGACCTCTATAGGGTCCACAAGCTCAAAACGTGATTTTTCGTACAATCAGGGGCCATAACCCATGAAGTTTCGACCAGATACATGCCAATATCGAAAGCAACCAAGATCTTTTGGAGTTAAACCTATATTTCAAATTTTGTCAAAATCGGATAAGAATTGTGACTTGTGTCCACAAACAATTGTAGACGGACGGATGTCCGGACGCATTGGGGCGACAACACTATACGTCCACATGAAAATGTGAGCGTATAAAAAACGCGATTTATCGTACAATCAGGGGCCATAATTATTTAATTTACGGTCCGACATACGCGAATATAGAAAGGAACTGAGACCGTTGGGTTATAAACATACATTTCAAGTTTCAACAAAATCGGATAACAATTGTGACCTGTATAGGGTCCACAAGCTAAAAACACGATTTTTCATACAATCAGGGGCCATAATCCATGAAGTTACGGTCCAGTACATGCCACTATCGAAGGGAACCGAGATCTTAGGGAGATAAACCTATATTTCAAGTTTCGTTGAAATCGGATAAAAATTGTGACCTGTACAGTATCCGCAAACAAATTGTGGACACATGAAAATGTGGGCGTTTAAAAAACGCATTGAAACCTCATGATTTTTTGCCGTTTGCGCAAAAACTCAAGGGGGCGCAGTAACCCAAAGCCTTGACACAAAGCTCGTCATTGCATCCCTCTCACTTAGCCTCTGGTATACTCAATGCTGCATGTCCTCAGTAAGGCTCAGTTGCAAATTTTCGTATCAGTGTTACTTTGCCAATTGTCTACCGGAAATTGACCTAGATACAAATTAAATCATCCATTGCCATTTTAACTTCAGCGGATCTACAGTGGCTCAGTGAGTAAGATGTTGGCTCGCTAACCTGGAGGTCCTGTACTTCAATCCCTGCTGGCCGAGAAAATTCATCAGGAATTTTCTGGCATAGTTCCTCTTGATCAGTGGTGCAGGATGAAGGGTCTGGCAAGGGACAACATAGTCGTTTGGATGGGAAAAAAATGAGGTTCCGTGTACATATTGATGTGCACGTAGAAGATTCCTTCATCCGGCCCATACAGTGGGCGAGACATGTTCTCATTACCGCTGTCAATCAACACCCTTAAAACATGTTCTCCTTGCCCCAGTCTATCGACACACATGAAAAGTAGGCTTAGCAGGTTCTCCTTGCCCCGGTCGATCGATACCCATAAAAAGTCGGCGAGATATGATTACCTTGCCCATGCCAAATGATGCCCACGAAAAGTGGGCTTGAAATAACATATTCTCCTTGCCCCCAATGACACCCATGAACAATGGGCAAGACCTGTCCTTCCTCACCCCCACTGCCATGAAAGTAACCCTTGACAATGGGAATTCAAAGAGGAGTTGGTATAATTGCAAAATTCTCGCACTGCACACATAACCCTGTTGACAATAACCCGAAGGACTAAACCATAACAAAATACTGGAATTATCAGCTATTTCATGCAGTTGATAATACAGAATTAGCATATTTGCAATAAAATTTACATTAGACCACTCCAAAATGCCCTGTCACGTGTACATCTGTGGGGCCCGCACAAACTAATAAATAGTCCTATAATACAGAAAGCTATTCACATATCTTAGGCAGTCCAAGGAACAGCCCTTTCGAAGTGTTTTGATCTGTTTAGGGATGTACCGCTATTAATATATCACTTTTCTCAAACTTTCTTCAATGAACCTGGGTAGTCAATATATACATGTACCAAGTGCTAATGGGTTAACAGGTTAACTACCTCTTGCGAAGTATACAAATGATATAATTTCTAGCTAAGAAATTGGCTCCAACTCCTGACAACTGGAAGTTTTTTATTTCTTTGAAAATTTGGAGGCTAGCATGCTTAAATTGTTATTTATTCTCTATAAACAGCTTAATATTTCGAGCTTGAATAAGGTTAACAGTCTTTTTCTTCATATTTTGATTTGTATACTTAAAGTAGCTAAGTCTCGAACTCGTTATCATACAAAATCTTCGACATTGAAAACACAATTTATTTTTCAGTTTAAATGGTCTTCTGATATCCAATATTTAAGACAAAATAAACATTTAACAATTGGTACACAAATCATGTACCATAATGCGTTTCAGCGCTATTTGTAATAAGGGACTCGTAAAAACGAGGCTAGGCATTTTCCACAAGTCATGTCAAACAGTGACGCTATATTCTTATCTGGAGAGCATGCCCAATAAATACTATTGGCGTAGACTGGAATAACCAAAAGCTTGTGATTGAAATTCGATTGAGAATACTGGCGTATGTCGCCGAACCTAACTGATTAGAAATTACAGTAAAAACAGAAAGGATTGAATGTAAATCAATTTATATACATTCATATTACATTATTGTATGCGTTGCGACCCATTTGTGTCAATTTCTAGGTCCCAAATAAATGCAACTTCTTTACTTTTCGGAAACCAAGTGAAAAATGGGCTTTTTCCTTTTAGCTGCCTAACTGTTCAATTAAAATAAATTTAACACAGAAAACCTTTTACTTTATAGATCATTTTTTTAATCATGATTTTGGCAACACTCTTGTACAGCTTTCATTAGCAATACAATTTCATATAGTTTAATGTAGAGTGACAGAATTTATCAATTAAGTCTCTCCAATATTTGTGAAAACAATCAAAATAACTTTCCATTCAACAAAATTAATATATTATAAAAGAATAACTCTTCAAAATGGCCTTGGCTCCAAGGTCATCACGTGATAAATGCAAAAATACTGTCATAGTAAAATAATACATTTATTTAAATATATTTATACACTGTTATTACCTACTATATATAGATGCACGTAGATAATTTATCATAGAAAATCATACAAGGACAACACGATTGCATCGAATTATCACGTGGCCTGTGGACCTGCCAATAGGCGTGCGTCATTTGGTCACGTGCTCCCCAACCAATCATATTGCACTATAGCAGCATCAACCCTAATGGACAACAAGAACATCTATGAGTTTTTGTATATATGAATATATAATGTGTGCATAAAACTTAAACGCACAGTTCTCTAATACTTAAATAAATACTAAACAGGTTTGACTTTTTATAGGAACATACAGTGTTCTTAAATATGTATATTTTTTAAACAATCAATGCTGTGTTTCTACAAGCTTTACAAAATCTTAAAATATCTACCTGATGGGAATAATGCAGGTTATCTTTGAAGTTATTCAAAAGTTAAAGGTGTATAACTTGCACTAAAATAATTGTTTTTTCCCCAATGAAAATGTTATGATAATTTGACTAGTACAGTTAAAAATAAATCCTTTTTTTGATATACGTTTTCGAAAAATGACTAGTAATTTGTAAAAGGTGTTACTATTTTTTTGTTTTTGTCCATGGTTCTAGATTTATAAGATAAAGAGGTTGATGCTGGCATTATAGCTGCCATATTGGATGTAACAATGCAAGGTTAAATATATAACCTTAGTATCTCTTTAACAGAATATTTTAATACACTTCAAAGACATAGAAAAAAAAACAAGCCAAACAGTTCAAAATACTTGATCAAATAGTGTACCTAATTTAACACTACCTACCGTAGACTAGTCTATACTTTATTATTAAATATACATATCTACAATTTATTTATTATTATAATAATCTTGATTAATAATCCATCTATTTCTGGTTGTATTTCTTACATAATATTTACATTTTTATCATTGATTTATACTAATATGTTCATTATGAAAATTATGTTATACAATACAATATTAATTATTGCTATTAATGAAATAACAAAAACAATAGAAATATCCATAATAAGTCATAATTATCGCAATCTACGTGCGGTTTATTTATCCTACAATGATTTTTTTTAGATACACTTATTTTTCTCTGTATATTTTGAAGAGTTTGTGTGGTTAGTTAAAAGATAAATATCACACATGGTAAAATCACACTAAGATCACACGATGAAAAAACAAAGATAATAATCGTAATAATAATAATAATAATAATATCTATACAACAACAAGATTCCGGTTGAGAGCACGTGATCAATTTCTATCTTGTAATTAAATAACATTTTCATCTTTTTTCTTGAAAGAAAAAAGATTTTCCTCTTTTGTTGTCCAAGGCTTAGATAAAATCTGTAACAGTGTAATGACTGATTGCTTTTTATAAATGGATGAAGTTATAACAAACTCAACGAATATTCTGTACAAACAAAAATATAAATACATTTAGACAGTTTGTGAATTGAAAACAATCATTTCTGTCATGTTACACATGAATGTATATTGCATTACTTATATTATCTCCTGTGTATGAATATTGCACACTTGCATTGATAAATGGAAGCAGCAATAGCAGCAGTCAAACTGTTTCCGGAAGATAAAATTAAGAAAACATGATTCAGGAGTAGTTAAAACTGTTCAACAGTTGATATGATAAATTATGAATTGTGATTTTAAGATACTTATATTGATATTAATAAAGCCTTGGACAAGAAAATGTAGACTCTGATAAGCCAAACAAATTCATGAAATAGAGATAGAATAATAAATTATATAACTTTTTTTTATAACAATAATTATGTTTAATTCAGAAATATTCCATTTTGATACAAATATATAAATATCTTTTCATAATTCGGTTTGGCTTATTTGAGCCATCCAATTTTTTTTTTTTATCATTTAATTTTTTTTTTAAATTATTTAATTTGTCGATAGTTCACTAGCGAACGGCCATACCGCACATCTCTGTTGTAAGCCTAGAAATAGATACAAATGAAAACAAGACTTTTTTCATCATTGCCACTGATCAATCATTAGAAGATCTTTAAAATGATTTTTTTTTTTTTGTATTTTTATATAATTTTTTTTTCTATATATATATGTTAAAATCTTCACTCACACTACCTCACTTATGACACGTCAACAACAAAAACTAGTAATTTCAACAGGCTGGCAGATTTTCAACAGTAGAATAATCACTTGTCACAAGAAGAAAAAACACCCGCAAAAAAAAATGGTAAGAAATATTGCAAATACAATATTGCAAGAATAATAATTATGCTAGGATGGAAAAAATAAAATGAAAATACCCTTATGAGAAAAGTAAAAAGGTTTACATATACAGATTGGGGGCCTGCATTCCAATGGGATTTTATACACAACAATTATTTCTAAAATACATTATCTGAAACATTCCCAGGAGTCCGAGTTACATGTACATTGTAGTATATATTGTGCCCGTTTATTTTGGTATGATTGCATGTACCATACATTTAAGTCAAGAAATCAATCGTTCGCTGTGCATCATTATCTGAGCCCCTAATAATAATAATAATAATAAAATAATAATAGCTACTTTCTATATGACTAGATTATTTATACTTCATGATATGTACTTTTTAAAACACTGGATACAACTTTACTTCATGTACATGAAATAGTAATTTCGCGGTTTTTTTTTCTGATTAAAAAATGAGTATGACATCAGCCTTTTGCACTTTTCAGTCATATAATAGTGATTGATGTAATCACACAACTAAGCATTGTGTTCAATACGCTTCTAAAACTGATTAAGAATTACAATGCCATCTGTCTATTTTACTATAACTCTTGATGATTTACGATTCGTATTTCGGATCTATCGGACACCCATACCCTGTTTGGTACCTCCAGTTTATGGCTTGGAATGTCATTAATATATAATACCTGATTTCTAGCTAAGTACAGACTCTTCTATACACTTTCCAATACGCATACACATTATGAAAGATATCCATTTGAGGTAAGTACTGTTTACTGTTGCCTGTCACCACTGGTATAATTTACAAACATATCAGGCTTTAATTATGGCAACCAAAAAAAAATTAATCTCTTTAAAAATATCATGCCTATGTACAAGATTTGAATTAAATAATTAGGCATATGATTAACATATTAATAAAAATTTCTAATAAATATTGTAATAAAATGTGTTGTTTCATGTACGCTGATATAGTTTTTTGGCAACCAGTTACTTAAGTATCTGTAATCTTCAAATTTACTCTAAAAGGCTGTTAACCACTTTATAGGCAATGTCTTTTTTTATATTCATTTCTTTTCCAATAAAATCATCATGGAATTCACAGAGATATAATTATATCCTCACAGTTCTCAGTTTTTGTATAATAATTTGTTAAAAACACTATTTTGGCTTGAGTCCCATCTTTAACATAACAGTAGTATAACAACCTTGTTAAAGTAGTACAACAGGTTAATTAAAATAGGCCCAGAAATAGGCTGTGATGTAAGCTGTTAGTAGGGTGCAAATTTAGGTCTCTCAGGCTTCTTCAGTGAGTTTGCTGTAACCCCAACCCTCATTTTGGCGGTGAAATTTTTGGCGTCTGCTACAAAACCAGGATTGTAAACACCCATGTTTAATCCTAGCAGCGGCATACATGTAGGTTTCATCAGCTGACTCAGCGGAATGGCCAAGGGATGGGACTGAACAGAGGTCAAGGATGTGGTTGATGGGGTCGAGGCTAGGTCGGGGGTCATATTCTTCGAGGTCGGGTCAACAAGGGTCATATTCTTATGCATTTCCATGCTGAAGAGAAAAAAGGAGGGGAAAAAGTATTAGACAAGAAACACAATCCACAGACCACTACAGAACATTAAAACATGGCCACAAATTAAACACCTTTTAAACATAACACAACTTGCTTTCACACTTGATTTGCAATTTTGCCAGATTATTTGGTTAAGTAAACAAAACAGAAAATAAAATTTGGAATTTAATTTTTTCTTTTATAACCATAAAAGAAACAAACATCGAAAGCGAATAGTTGCAAGTTGGTATGTTATCAAAAGGTGTGTTAGTTTAAAACTTAACCAATAATAAAGCCGCCCATCAAATCTCCATTTTTAATGTGTCTAATTTTTGAGATTCTAAAAATCTTTAAAATACTGTAAGTCAGTGAGTTGAAATTTCAATGACGATAAATTTGATAGACTTCTCTACAAATATGTTGATAAATTTCTCATGTCATAGTATGTTAAAATATATTAAGTTTGAAAATCATTCTGTATTACTAAAAGTAATATTTATAATTAACCGTGCGTTATTACTAACTCATGAAAAATTTGTCAGCAAAATATTGCAATAAAATAAAGTGTGCAAAAGTGGCCACAACAAGGATCTGTTAGTACATAGCAATGGATATATAATATATATATATATAATACTGTCACCAAACAAAATCATATAAAATAAAGGATAAATAAAATAAATTAGGATTCACATACAGGATGTCCTAGCATAATAATTTTTCATTTATTTATTTTAAAAAATTGTTCAAAAGTTGTAGACATGTCTTCGAATGCAACAAGTACTTGTTGGCATCAGTAAATCTCCAGCAAGTGTGGCGGTTCAAGCTTTCAGCACGGCAAATTTTGGGTTTCCATGTAAACAGTGTTGTTGAATTCTTATCTCTTCTGTTTGACCAATCATATGTTAGCACCGCATTTACTCCTCTGTCACTCACTGTCACACACATTTACCATGATACTTACAAAAGATACCACCTTTTATTGACTGACAAAAAACAACAGTAATATACGCCTTTTACTTTTTGACGTACATACACTCTAAGTAAAATTATTCGATGTTTTAAAAGTGAGAAAATAAGTATCATACAATCACTTTTCATTATTTTACAATAAAATCAATCAGACTATCCAGCTTTTTTTTAATAAAAAAATAAATCCTAAGTACTATTCCATGCACATATTCATTGCTTCCAACAACAATAAAACATTGTTTAAAGTTTAGTAAAGTCTACAATAAAATTGCTTCAAATCATAAACCAAACTATTGTAGCTCAAAATCCTATATTATTTCTAAATCTGTACAATTCACACTTTACAAACAGTTTTATCAAAACTGCATTAACATGAGTTGACAGCTAAGTTATTCTGTTGAATTTTCCACAAGAAACCTTTCTTTCCAAATCTAATATATACAATTGAAAACATTTAAATCACCATACTAACATTGATTCTCTTTCAAACTATTCAGTAAAATAGTGAAGATCATCAACAGAAAGTGCAGACTCATGAAAATTTTGTTTTGATATTCACAACCTTTAACTAATATAAGTAAAAAATATGAGAAAGTGTTGAGATCAGCAATATACTTATTAATAATATATAATAATATACTATCTGTACATACAGTGTCCTTTTTACCCCACTCTGTACAATATCCAACTTATTGCTATTATAAATTATTAGGCTAATTAGAGACAAGGATATCATTTTATTTTGCCATGAATCATTGAAAATTTGTGCCTTGTTTATTGCAACATGCAATCAATGTGGTACAAAAACACAAATATGAAAAACAGTGCATCGCCTGCTACTAAACCACCATTTTTAAATTATAAACATTTATTATAGAAAAGTAATAACGATATCTAGGATTGTATAATGCTAGAATTATTTGATAGAATCATGATCGCTTGGATCAGAGCGAGGAAGATTATATTCTTTGCCATCTCATCACTTTATATCAGAAATCTAAAATAAAATGAATAATTCGAGAGTTAGCTTTTCAAGTCGTGAGTGCATGTTCCTATTTTTACAATACAGACAGTTATAGAGAAATGATTTCAAGAAACCTTTTAAATTTATAGCAGACAACGGTTTTAATTTAATCTAAAATAAAAGTGAAATATATCAGACTTTTTGTCAGTTCTCCTTATATCACTATAAAAGAAATATCTGTGAATATTTCATATCATCATACAGATCTATATCTTTTGTTTGCTACCAAATATATCTTCTTCACTGCGAGTTCTGCTTTCCTTTTTTTTTATCACAGTGGATATAATTTTATAAAAGAAACCCAGCTTAATAAGAAAACATAACTGTTTATATTGAAGTTGATTTTCAATCAATAAATTCCTCGTATTCAACAGAATTGCCATTATTGATGGAATGATCTTAAGTATATCACCTAGTGCCAAACATTTCTGAAGCTCAACTTTGATTTATGCACAGGATTTTCTACTCATTGCCTTCGAAATGCATCTATTTTTTAAAAGAATGCTATTTCTGTGTAAAATTCGAATACATTAAGCGATTCTGTTAAAATAAGAGACAGAAAGTGTGGGACTTGAAAAGCCAATTCCAAAATAAATACTTTTGATCAGTTTTCTAATAAAAGCATCTAAAAGCAACATCAAAACAACAAAACACAACAACAACGTTTGAGCATTATCTGGAATATCGCCTTAAAAGTTATTATTCTATTACTAATATTATTTACAAATCAATTAGTCACTTATAAAATAAATTATATTTGAATCTATACAATAACTTTTAATTAATTTGTATTAGATAATAAATATAAATTTTGATTGACAGCTTGAGATTCTTTGTTTTAAAAGATATATATAGTTGGGTTGGGTTTTTTTTAAAAAAAAGATCCAAAATAATATTCGTAATAAAATTTCTAGAAATTAAAAATATCTATAAAAAAAAAATTTGATGCCATCATCAATCGTTAAATTTCTTTTCATTCCTTAATAAATTGTAATAAGTTATTAATAAATTACAATAATACAATGTATATAATATATATATACTAATAACTACTAATATCAATAAACTCGCACAACAAACATAAAGAAAAATAATAATAAATGTGAAAAAAATAATTAAAATAAATTAAAGAAATAAATACTAACAATTATTTTACAAATAATATTATCAAAATAAATGAAGAAAGAAACTCCAAATTATATATTACAAGAACACAGTGACTCATACAATGACTTTTTGTCTTTCATTAATCAAAAGAATGCCAAAAGAAATGTCATCAAAATCGTTACTGTATATTAACTTTTTTTATCTTTTCACTACCAATGAACTTGCATTAGTATAGTTTTTGTCATGATCTTTTTGCGTCATTATATTAGTATGAACTATTCTAAGTAAACATTGTATAAAGATTGGTTGCCAGGCAACAAAACATACACCCACAGCAGCTAAGTCCTCAAATTTAGATTAGGTAATGGAAGCATTACAAGATACTAATAAGTGATCAAGTGTAACAACCCATGAAGAAATTATAATTTGACTGGCTTCTAGTTCTTCCTAGCACTAACAAAAACATGTACCTGTAATCTGATGGTAACTTTAGCTATTCAAGCTATTAGAAATCATTGAAAATCAATAGGCTTTTTCATCCCATGAACATAAACAGCATATAAATTTCAGATAAATAGGTAGTCAAATCGAGCAGGAACAATAACTCTAAAATAATCATGAATTTTCAAAGTGATTAAGGGCGATAACTCCAAAATTAAAAAGGTTTGTTCATCTCACAATCATAAACACTGGCAAAGGACGGACGGGCAAAAAGACAACATACAACCACATTTCAATGTGGTTGTATAAAAACTATTAAATCTTAAAAAACATTTATCAAAGCTGAACCAGTGATAAATAGATAGATAACCAACATTAAGTTTTGATTCTTAAAAATACACATTTGATTTTTTTAAATGCATCAAGAACATAATTTCAGAAAACAGTTTGTATTATCAAAATGACTAGTTAATATATAATCTCCTCCTTGTAGAAGTCTGTGAGAAGAATATTGTTGGTTTGTATTTAAATTCTGATTCAGCTTTAAAACTTTTGTTTAGTACAGCAAACAAATTACTGTTCATACACATCTACAATGCAAATTAAAAAAGCTAATAGCCTATAAACTATGTGAACAATGAATCTATCTTGCAGTGGCTGGATAATATGCATAAGATGATTGTACCAACCTTGTATTAATAAGATACTGGGCGAGACCAATCATTTCAGGAGAACCACTAATTGTAACTTTTCTGTCAGCAGCACCATCCTCAGCATTTGATATTTTAATTGTAGCACCTGATAATTGTCTGAAATCAAAAACGTATTTTTTCATTAAAAGATTGGTATATCAGAAGGCAATCATCAGTCTAATGAGAGAGAGAGAAGAGAGAGAGAGTTTAAGTCCACTGGACACAAACTAGGTCACTTTGGAACTAACACATGTTTGTTTTATTTCAATAATTCATGTAGGGGTCTTTTAGCAGAGGACCTGAGAAAACCCATGAGGTTGGACAGGCGACCCTATGCTAGTTGACTCAATGACAGACCTTATGATACAGCGCACATGCTAACCATTCAGCCATCCACCCCCCCCCCCCCACCCCCCAGATGCATTGAAACCAAGTTTCGACAAGCTTTACAGATCACAGAATCCTGGTCATTTTGGTCATTTGTGTTATTTTCATTAGATAAAGGGGAAATTTTCATTTCAACAGAAATAACAATATAGGTGTTAAAATAAATGGCCTACTGATATCCAGGACATTATGGCACATTTCTCAGGACTACCTGGTAACAAATTTGTAACTATTAACTATTTATGTGCTTTATCTAACCAATTTTTTCTTTGCTTTGTCAACTAAAATTCACGTCTTGTTTCCTCAACATCTTAAACCAACTCACCTAATCTCATTTATTTTCTGACCACCTCTTCCAATAATACAACCAATTAAATCATTAGGGACATTCATTTCATGTGTCTGGTTACCATTAGCAACCTGTATACTGCTAACATTATTTGGTCGAGCAAACTGATAGGCTGTTAAACCTGGAATACAATTACCATAACCTACTTTTAACGTTTTTTAATGCTGTTTAGGTTATAAGCTAAAATTACATGATTATTTAATGGATGAATATCTAAAGAAAAAAATACACACAAAAATTAATACGATTTAAAAAATTTAATATTGTATGAGTAACTGCAGAATTTACATTATTATGCTTCAAAACAAGTAATCATAAATTTAAATCTAACCATATGTGGGCCGTGACATATCACCATTTAATGATATACAACCACCTGGTAAGACTGTCTGAGCTGAAGGAATAAGTGGAACCGCATGAGGCATGGGCATGTGTGGTGGCATTTTATTCACCTGAAAAAAAAAAACAGTAGTCAATCAAAATAAAGGATATAGCTGGATAAATTTCTGTTATTTTTACAAAATAATTATCCTTTTTACCCACTGATGAAATAGATAAATAACAAACAAATGAGATAGAATTCCCTCCCTTTATCTAGCAGTAGAAACCACTTTATAAAATGTCTTTGAAAATTGTAACTTCTAATATGTATTATCGATATTCTAAATAAACTTACCTCATGGTTTGGCATTGGTACTTGTCCACCCTGCATGGCATAGGCTTGACCACCGGCAAAGATGACTTGTGGAGAGACTACGGGTTTTGGACGGTAGGGGATATTGGCACCCTTAGGAGGGGACTGGAGAAAAGGAATGAATAAGGTGTTAAGAGGAAAAATGCAGGAAAGAGAAAAGCTATAAAGAGCCAGATCAGCTTGGCTGAGATGACCGTTACATGTGTTGACTGAAAGTAAAGTAGAATGAATTCCATGTCATGTAGTTGCCAAGTTTAATTCTACTCCACCGACCACTTCTACTCTCTACAGTTTAACATCATGCTATATCAATCATATTTCTACTTTCTGCATATTCTACAAGGATAGTCCTAGCTATATGCACAAGCTTGGTCTTCTCCCTTTTCTCTCAATAGACTGATTAATCCAAATCAATACATATCATAAAATTCATTTTGAAACATTAAAATAAAACACCATTTTTATGGTTTTGAGGGACCAGTGATTATTTAAAAAAATATTTTCCAAATAGGCCTATGTGTTGGAAAAGTATAAAACCTTTTTGAGCTTTTAAAATTCTTCATCTCAAAACCATAATAACAGAGAAAGTTGTAACACAATTGTACTTTAAATCAATTTGTTATAATGCATCAATACACAATGAGGTTACAGTCCCTTGGTACTGACATCATATTGTTAAACAAAATATAATCTTTTCAGTAATTGTTACTTTATTCAAACATGAAATTTCAATTTTTCATGCACAATAAAATTATTATTTGTATTTATTAATGAAAATATTATAATACTGGATTTATAAGTTCAAGTCTGATAATATCAAAATTATCTTTCTTTCTTTACATGGGATCAAATCATATTTGTCAAAGACTTAAAATACATAAATTCCTGATTATCTATAATTTCTATATCATTAAATCAATGTTTGGCCTTAAAATATTATTTTTAGCTGAATTATTAAAAAAATTGAGATTTTTTACATCAGGGATCTTGATTAAGATTTCATCACACTCGTACAGATGACAGCTGACTATTTACTGAACATTTATCCATATAAAAAAATCAATATATTTAATATTTACTTAATACAAAACAGCTAAAAAATATTTTTGTTTCAGTAGAAAACTATTACCAGTATGTGATTATAGCAGGGTCTGAATCTTACAGATGTGAATATACTTGAACTTCCAATCAAGACAAGATGGTTTCAATTATCATCATTATGAAGTCAAATTATTTCAGAGTAATTAGAAAATATCTGACATAGTGTAAAAAAAAAGTCTTAGTTCAATTACGATATGTACCAGGCTGTTATCAGAATGCATGTCTATTATAACTTCAAATAATTTATACTTAAAACTAATTTTCCCTACAAGTTTCAAATACACTTTGAACTTCATTTATATTTCCTTAAGTGCAAAAAATGAGTGAAAATTGTGTAAAATGTAAATATTTTTATTTACCTCCAACATAATTCCACATATGTTTCTTATGCACTGTGTAATGGCTTCAGCTGTACCCGATAGTGTTACAGCTCGTTCTGTAGAATTGGGTAACATTTCACTGGCTACTTGTATAGAAGCACCTGTAGACTAAAATAGACAATATTTCATTTGAAAAAATAAATAGAAATTAAACAAACAAAATATATTGGGATTTCTAAAAGGAAATCACAAGGGTTTTCTAACAAAAGTATGGAGAATTTGAACAAGGCTGCAACTGTAGATCATTTTGACCTGGGGACTGCAAAATCTTTAAATCTCCTAATCCAGCATGATACTTTGTTTTTCCTGTTTTTATTTATTAAAAAAAACTGTTTGTATTTTTGAGATATTATTTTCATTAAATAATAAATGATATGTTTTATAAATCCAAGTGAGTTCTTGGAGGGAATACCGATTTATAAATTTCGAAGTAGTGAGATGGATTAGATAGAGAGAAAGAGGAGTACACTGATGAGTGGGTCGTTATTCACCTGGCAGAAGGAAGCTGTCTACCACAGGTGAACAACTGTAACAATACTACAGGCTATCTGTTAGCAAAACTAAACTCTACATACAACAAACAATCTATTATATAATAAAAACTCTTCAATTTACATCCGCTTTGAGTCTATTTGAACATGTGTTCAACCCGATCAGTCACACTTGACATTTGCAGTATCGGAACTATTTGCCTTCTTTAAAGATCTTTAGCACTATTCCTGTGTGTAGGAACATGCCAAGAAGCTTTACCTCTTATCTGATTTACTAGGGGAAACGTGGTTCCCTTGCAACAGTATGTTTACATGGCATTTATATTCCATTCAGCCGAACACACCTCTGTCTCTCAGCAGTTTTATAATTAGGTCAATTTACGTCAAGCTGCATACCCTGCACATATCTTTTGATCAAATACATACATTGTTAACAGGTTGTCGTACATAACTAAACAAATAACAACATTCTATCTTTACTAGATATTCACATGTGTTCATACCAATATATCGTATGTTTGTATTTGATCATTTATATTATACTGCATTATCTGCATTTCTCTTTCATAATGTTACCTAATTTTGAAATCAAATCCAAAGTTCAACTGTAAAATTTTGGTTTCTTTTACAAGAAACTATTGGAATAGGTTATGTCATGTGCACAGACGTAAGAAAGTATCTTTTTAAATTCCAAGCGTAAATCGTGCATAGGTTTCAATTACTGTGAACTTTTCTCGCAGGAAAGAATGTGAAGCGGAAAAGGTCTAGATTCAATGTTGAACAGACGCCAAAAATGCTAAAAGAGCAAGATGTACGTAATGCAGGGGCACTATCGAACAAATCATATCTTTATATACATTTACCTTTGTACAGCAGTATGACATCAATATGCTAAATTAGGATCCTTCCTGACCTAATACTACGCTTGCTTACGATAAGACCTACTGACACATATGATCACAAATATTTCAACTAATAATAGAGCTGAACCAACGTCATTTGTCATCCGCACAGACGATTTACAATTAGAAAGATAGGCTGCCAGGCAATGAAAAATACGCCCACAGCAGCTATGTCGTCCGGGCAATTACATAGCTCTGTCAGGGGTACCCCACCCCTAGAAATGTCTGTCAGAGTGTTTTTGTAATACCTGAAGATGTACGGTACATTGCTGTGCGATTTGCATGTGGTACACTTTTGAGCTAATCTAGACTAGTTGGGGGGCATGGCATTTTGGGCGTGGAATACCACACCCACCACCAGAAACCCGGCAGACTTACATTCTGATGATACCAGATATACATACATTGATACCATATAGGAGAAAATTGGTACACTTTTCAGCTAGGTTAACCCCCTGGGCTCCCGTTCTATTTGTACCTGATCCATGTATCTCTCCCCTTTTAAAGTAGCTAAGTCTCTAACTCAATATCTCAAAGTCTTCGAATTTGAAAACATGAATTATTTGTGAATTTAAATCAACATTGATGTTGTGATCTTACCGGAATATCTAAGACAAAATAAATATTTTACCATTGGTACACGAATCGTGTACCTTAAGTGCAACAAGGAACTTGAAGAATGAGGCTAGACATATTCCACAAGTCAAACGGTGACGCCATATTCTTATCAGGAGAGCATGTGCAATAAATACTATCAGTGTAGACTGGAATAACCAGACGCTAAAGATTGCCATTCGATTGAGACGTCTGGCGTATTTTGCCAAACATAACTGATTAGAAATTACAGTAAAAACAGAAACGATTGAATGTAAATCAGTTTATATACATTCGTATTACATTATTATATGCATTGCGACCCATTTCTAGGTCCAAAATATTAGCGATTTAGCTCCTTTAAATTATATCTGTAGAAAAAATTGATGGATCGAGCAATAACTTAGAAATTATTTTTTAGGGTCATTAATACAAATGCAATAATTAATAGCCGTACCTCTCTAATTTCTTTTATTTTGCTACCACCTTTACCAATTAAAGAACCACACTGACTGGCTGGGACTACAAGACGTAATGTAACAGGAGGTTTAGGCACAGTTGGTGTGTTCTGTAAATCCTGCAATAAAACAAAAGACAATAATAATACTACATTATTAAGATTTTGAGGAAATATTTTATATCTTAAAGATAAAATGGGGACCAAAACTTGTCCATGAAAGTTGTCTTAAGGAATTTTGGTAGTGTAGCCAGATTATTTCAGAACATATGTGCATGCGTTTAGAAGTGGCAGTAACTGTTAGATTAACTTTTCTGTGACGAGTTTCACACACATCTTTGCTGGGCATGGTTCTGGCACTTACAGTATAAATGGGTACACACACCAATATGTTGCATAAAAGACAAAAGGATAGTCCTACTTCTGGGAAACCTTAATTTTTAGTTCCTTTTTAGGGTCACAGCAATCCTAAAAAATTGTTTTAATCTTATACAAACCTCTTCAAATTTCTTTGAAATCATTGTGAAAGCTTTGTGAATATTTTCTGTTGAGCCTGTGGTTGTTACAATTCTCTCTGGACATGATCCATCTGATATGTTGATTTTGGCACCACTCTGAAAAGTAAAGACCAAAATAATAGTAGTTTACATAAACATATTTCAAAATATATTAAAGCTTAATGTTTTATCCGTTCTGTGTGGGAACAGGTTTACATCAAAGAGATGTTGATAGATCAATCTTCATACCATGGAATTTATATATATTGTTTACATTCATAGCAGTTATTGTTATCATATCACTATAACTGCTCAATGAAAAATCAATTCTGTTTAAGTGTTATTTTTCCTTTTTTTTCTGGCACAAAGATTAAAAAAAAAATAAAATGAAGTATTTACACATGTGATGTATAGCTTACCTCCTCCCTGAATTTCTTAATATTATCACCTTTCTGTAAAAATAGATTCATACAATCATGGTTAAAATAAATAAATAACAGATTATATTTTCTGATGAAAAGAAATTTTATAAGATGAAATCAATTGTTGATAATCTAGATCAACATTCTTTCTTGACATTTAACATAAAACATGATTTCAGTTTTTGTATTTTAAAAAATTATATATATTTGATGAACAGCAGACACACAAGCTCAAATTTCTATAAACATTTGATATTTAAGATAAGGTAAAAACTTTTTTTACTCCTTCTGGAAAAAAACAAAACATCCTAAATTCAAATGGAGTTCTACAAATGATAATCCTAAATGTTTTCCATCAGCAAGAACTTCTTCAAATATGGTATAGGCCCAAATCTCATCAACATTTTATCACAAAAGCTCTGGGTATATTTCAAAAATATTTTATTCTGTGGATAAATGCACAAAATCTTGAAGATATCAATCAGCCTTCATGTCAAGGGATAATCACCGACTTACTTAAATAATCAAATTTTTTCAAAAATGAATTTTATAATGTTACTAACATGCATTAAGGCACCTTCAAGAAATTGGCATCAACTCTTTGACTATTTTTTCTTACAAGATTGTATCTCTTTTAAAATCAGTCAATAAATTCCAATAATAGCACCCTTGAGTACAGACAACTGTATAAATTATACTCTAGAAACTTATAAGACAATTTAACTACCATACCTTGGTGAGCAACTACAGAAAGCAATTCTGTAAAAAATAATCCATCAAAATGAACATGTCAAGTATTTGTGTAGGAATCTCTGTTTTTACTGTCATACTATGATAAGAACATCAAACAAGGGCCAATTACTGTCAGTAGCACCTCACAGAGAGTACCTTCTATATCATCTCTATTTTCAAATGATTTACAAACAGAAGAATGAAAAAAAAGTTATCAAATAGACTATTTTTTATCACAAACATTTCAACAATTCTGTCAAATGGGGTGTTAACCTCTATAGCTTATAATCCAAGTGAAACAGGCATCTGACATTTCATGAAATTCAATCTGATAAAAAGATGTTTCATGTCAGATTAAGCAAGCAAGCAATCTAGCAGAATCACTTGATGGGCAGCAAAAAAATCTTACAGACATTCAATTATAATGTACTCTGTCTTCATGCCATTTATTGTTGGCTACAACTCAATTTCATGATATGTGTAATTTGTATGACTTCTTGTTTTATAAGAAACAATTAGCATAAATCAAATCCATGAAGAATACTAATTAACAAAATGGAGAGAGGTCATTATATCATATTCTTTTTATCCTTGAGTATACCACCAGAATTCTAACATAGTTGCAGCATGGGGTAACAAATTAAATCTGCACACATCATTTTTAACACATTATTTACTGAATAAGTTGTCTTTAACAAGAATAATGTAGTTCAGCAGTTGTTATTCTACGTGAAACTGCCATACACACTTCATTATAATTACCCACAAATTACTTCTTCACGTGTATAAATATACTAACTTAAGGTTTTCTTATCGACTCTTATTGTACACGATATCAAATTGACCAAAAATGATGATGATGATTGGCATACAAAATCTGCTCGTAAATTATCAACAAATTGTTTTTTACCACTATAAGCAGACGGTATCATGAAAAAGCCATCTGTACTAACCAGACTCTTACTCCCAACCTTTTCCTAATTCAACACATATTCTGTCTACTATAAGATCATAAAACAATAGGTATGTGGTTAGATCTATGGGGGTTCGCACTACCTGTAATTAACTAAATACTTGATCTTTGCCATATAGTAGAAATGCAATATGTACGCTTTGAAATTTGTATATCTCCATGCAATATTATATAGCTATTTGGTTGGATGAAACATGTAAGTTGTTAAAAATATAAAATACATGTATACAGGTGTATACAGAAACCCTGATAATGAAAACAAAATGTTAATTTTTTTTTTTACCAAATATTTCCCACTGTACTATAATAATTGAAAAGTTTCATGAAGGTGACTTATCTACTGGGTTCTAAAAAATATTTTGGAATCCATACATTTTACTGGGAATTATTTGTTTTGATTCCATTACAATCCTAATAACTGGTTCAAATGACTAGTGTAGAGGTGAACTTGATGTGCCGTTAATGTAAATTTTAACCTAATAGACGATATCTGTTTAGTCATTTATCGAATCCCAGTAGAATAAAATAGCATATGTTAGATTCTGATTCTAGATACAGGTATGCTGAACTTCCTTCCATATAAATCCAATACCAAGAATAATAAATTCAAATTTTTGTTCTAAATTCTGACGTCTGGCATTTGATGTCTGTACCAATGGCCTTCCAGTTTTAGTATCATTTACTAAGTTCTATGAGCTTATGATATAATATTTCCTCCAAAATGAACCAGAAAAATTATTCTTGTCAAAACAAAAGCTCTACAAGGTATAAACATGGTTAGCAGAAAATGTAACATATGGTGCACAGGCAATCTGAAAATGAATGCTTCCAAAACATCAGGTTGAACTGAATCCTATTCCATTAATAGATAATAAGGAAACATGTTTAGAAATTTCTATACAAGTCAGGACCTTGCAAATATTTGTGAACATGCTAAAGACATAGAAAAAGTGTTCACATGTACATAACAGAATTACAACTCTTAGTAACTTTCTCCTGGCATTACAAGGCTATGAAAATACGAACCAGGCTGAAAATATCGTAATATAAATAATCCACCCATAAAGAATTCATCTTTATTCATTTGATATTTAATTTTATGAAATTATGTGTAGGGAAATAAAAGCTTCAATCACAAAAACACACAGACTTAATGGAAAGGTTGGAGACTATTTCCTGTCAAAGACAAATCAAAAACCAAACCCAGTACTAATAATACACATGGAGAGTGTAATAATATATGTAAAAACATATTTATTTATAAGTTCAAATTATGAGAAATATATAATACACAATGAACACACCTTTGCCTTTCCCCTTGTGTCAAGATCAACATAAATAACTCAAATTATTAGACAACTTTACAATTTGGTCCAGTATATAAGTCAGTACCCTAGGAAAACATAACATCCTGCGAATGTTTCCTTATTTCCTCCACCTCGACATACTAGAACTAATTTACATGGTTTCTAAACTAATACCATATGATGAACGACTGAGATAAAGTTTAAACACAGAGAGGGTGCTGTATTCTGACATAATGTAACGTCAGATGCATCGTTACCAGGTATCCTGATAATACAAACGGTTGTAGATGTACAGGTTAACATTTCCCAATTCAGATCCACCAATTAGACCCATGGTGCTACTAACAGTCTGATTGAAATATTTATTACGTCACCAAGCTCTCAGTTGTGTTTTTGATAAATAAATGATTGATGTTGAGTGCAGCATTACCAGAATTCTATTGAGGACTTTTTTAAAGATGAGATACATTATCTAGAAGATAGTTCATAAGTCACAAGTGTCTATATTTTTTTCCGCATAATGATGTCATGGTTACATGCATGTTTAGCATATGATCAGATGTAAATGATTTTATCAGACAACAATTCACAGATTTCATAAAGAAAAAAAAAATAATTCACCTTTCCGATTATGCTGCCAACTTCCTGCAAATAGAAAATAAAAAGATTTAGCATTTTGTCTTTATAATTCAGTGATAAAGGAATTCATTGGAAGTAACATTTTCAACAATATTGAGTATAAAACATTCCTTATTGTAAATAATGTATTTTGTGTTTCTGCTCTGTGCTGCATGATGTAATATATGAAAAAGTAAAAAAAATCCCACCTTTTTAATTGTTGTTCTACCCTTGAATCTACCAAATACATTACTTAAAACTAGCATTAAGTGTTACTGTTAGAAGAAATATTATTTTTACGATTTGTTTTAGTAGCTATTGAGGTTGGGGAACATAAATTATTTCTAATTTTTCTAATATAAAAAAATTGCCGGTCTCATTTTTATCAATATTGTAAATAGATGAGAAATTCTTTCAGGATTTTCTAATTTAATGATCCTATCATTTTTAATCAAAGCTTATGCCACTAAGATTATACACAGGTAACTGAAAAGATTCATATTCACAGAATAGGAACCCTGTTGTTATCTCAGAATATTGAAATATATAATGAGAAATGGTATCAGGTGTTCTAGAAAGTAAGACACATCTTAAATGCATGATTATATGGCAGATAGCAGATTCAGTCCATCATTATAGTTGTGTTTAAACCAGTTTAACATTAACATTTTTCAAAATAGTATTCTTACAATCTAGCAATTAAATGGCCAAATTATTTCCAATTTAGTTTCTTACTTCAAAAATCCATTATTCATTTACTACTCTGACATTATTTTTTACTGATAAGCTGTCTTGATTTTCTATATAAATTCAATGACTGTTATCATATATTATCTCAAAATGTACCCTGTCCTGGTAAGAGAGAATAATCATCACCAAGGTATCCTTAAACAAGAGGCTTTATCAAATTTGACCTCCAACCCGTCTGATATCAGATGATATCCACCATAACACTAAATAATGCGATTGTTCAATTGATGATAAAGGTGTTAATATTGGCACTCCTGCTGTATTCAGTTATGACTTGATATCGCGTGATGTGAGATGAGAATGTCATTAATATTTAATGTAACAATTAAAGTCATTCAGAAGAGATGAGCACACTTAAATAATAGAAAGTAACAGAGTAAAAATATCTCTGGAACTCAAAGCATTCATCAGACATCAATATGTTAATTAAGGTTTTAATTGTCTGTCTTGGTTGATTTTTATTATTATTAAATAGAAAACAAATTATAAATCGATATCCTCTGATTTATTTTCTTACTTTTATTACATATTTCAAACATTGCTAAGCTCCTTGTGTACATATTTTAAAACCATCAAAAATTATTTTGAACAGGAATCAATATTATAACATTTCTATGTCTGTGTGGGTGTGTTTAATCAGTTGTAGACAAGTGTCAATAATAAAGACACAACTTAGTTTCTCCAGGGAGGGGTAGGGGGATCTTTGGATCCTGTTAAAACATGTACTTGCATGGTGATTAATGGTGATTTTGTACATAACCTTGCACTATAATAGATTGTTATTCTATGAAAGAGTCAGGAACTTCAAACAACAGAATATCAATGTCCACAAATTAAGAGATTAGATCGTCTGTAAGTGTTGAAGTCAAGTTTACTGTCTCTATAGTAACTACATGTAGACCTAATCACCCCTCGACACAATTAATACTTTTAGATTATATCACAATTCCTAATAAGCTATACAGTTTAACAATTGCAAAATTATTTTTTCCAAAATTGAAATATGTAAGGAAATCTGTTAAGAATACTAAATATGTGCAAATTTAACAGATCTTTCACCTATCAAAATTACATTTGCTTATACAGTAAACTTCGCATAAGTCGGATCTAAGTGGACTGACCAATTTTATCCGAGTTAAGCAAAGATCCGAGTTACCTGAAGACCGAAATTCAATCTTAGCTCAATTAGAAATAATAATTGATTCAAAGGCACATTTCAAGCTTTTGTTCGTATGTGCGAGTAGATAACTTCCGTTTTGGTGCGAGTAGATAACTTCCGTTTTGGTGCGAGTAGATAAATTCCGTTTTGGTGCGAGTACATAACTTTCGCTTTGTTGCAATCTTTGCAAAATGTCCTAAATTTTTCTGGAAAGTGTTTCATAAAGCAGACAGCGAGTTTCGAATTTTCCGGGAAAATTCTATTATTGCGTCGCATCAAATAGGCTGATTTGAGTCAAAATGAAAGTATTTTGGGGCTTTGTGCATGGAACACCTAACCGTGTTTTAGACCATCGGGACAACGTGCAGGATCAAAGGGTCAAAACAATTTTAACCAAGTTGAGCGAAGATCCGACTTATACAAATCGGACTTATGCGAGGTTTTCTGTAGTTAATTTTAAAATAATATAATCTCCAGCCTATTTATTCTAGATTGAGCTAATTGTTACTAAATCTATCATTTCAATTAAGAAGAAGTTAAGTAGTGAACAATGAAACAATAATAGAACTAATCATTAGCCTATAGATCATATAATAGTTCCAGTTGCTCTATAATTTGCATACTATCATAAGTATATTAGGTATCGTGGGACTGCCAGGCATTCATCATAGATTCAATTACACGTCTGCTCCTAATATATAGCGGGAAATTGATTTAACCTCAAAGACCCAAATCAAACATGGATGCTTAAGCGTATAGCTATTAGAGACTAACAGTAAGCATGAGGGTGATTTATCTTTTATCTGTCGAAAGGTTGGTATGAATACTTTTACTGAACTTCAAATAAAATCACTATTAAGCTTTGAAAGAAAAGAAAGCTTTTATTTTGTTAGAAGTCTGACATCAGCCATTTCCTATTAAGTCTTATATAGAATCTGCCTTTAGGTATCTCAAAATGTCACTACGATAGGCTTTTAGCTGTGCCTCAAGACACACCGATTTTGCTGTTATTAAAATACCCTAATTAGTACCAATACCCAAGTTAAAAAAAAAATTGTGGTTGGAATTAGCCTGGGAATTTGACGGTTCTATAGACTGCACAGGGTAATCAACGAGTCTATCTTTTCTTGTGGCAGGCACTGGACTATAACTAGTGCTGATAATGATGTTGAAATTAGATTGAGGTGCTCATTATTCAATAGCTACAGGAAACACGCCAATAGGCAGTTGGCTGAAGAGTTATTAGGGAGCCAAAATTGGAGCTAGGTCCAAATAGCTACCAGCATTGTTGACCATGAACAAACTCTAAGCTATGGACAAGATATCTAATTTGAACCATGATTGCCCAATTTGTCACCCAATACACCAGTAATATGCTCATTATAAAAGAAAAGCAAGGTTGTTTATAAGGCAAAGCGATATGTGACATTTTAAAATGGGTTGTATTCTTTATTTTCAGTAAACAAATTCACATTTACCTAACAAAGATGTCTTGATTACAAAACAAACATAGTTTTTTAAATTTCAGTTCAATTTCGAATTCTAAAAGTATCAGTATCTATTTCCAGGTAGACAAATGTGACCATGTTTGAATATCACAGAAAATTACTGCATTATCCATCACTATTCTAGTGCCCTTTGCTCAACAAATATGACATGCAAGTTCTATGGGGTTTTTTAAACATTAAAAGAATTAACAGCCTTCAAATACATTCAATATGGACACCTTTGAATTGACATGATGATGTGATGAAATAGAAGAACTTTTTTAAATGTGAAAATGAATCAATATAAAGATACTTTTTTCAGTTAACCTTAGTCTACAACAGAAAAAAAAACAAATATCTAAAGCTTTTATCTTATTGGCAGCAAAATCCATGAAATTATTGAAAACAAAGTCTTCACAGAATCCGATAAATCAAATAGGCTTGCATGATGACAGCTTCTATTGAAATTAGCAACTATTTTGGAAACACTGAAGGGTACTTAGTTTTACAGGATATCTTCTTTATCACTTAAATCATTGTATTTAATGTGGACAAAAACTGACATGCCATAGTGGCCATCACCATTTTCTGAATGACAAAACAGGTCTACCGACTTGAAGTTGAACTCATCAACTTAAATAAATAATAACATTAAAGATAGCTTCCAGGGGTTTTAATTCTACAAACCTTCTTTCAGAAATGGATGCATTTTTTAAAAATTTTGTAGAAATAAGTTTTTGTAATATACCAATGAGATAGTGGAAAGTACTATTTTTGCGTATACACAGTCAACTATTTTGATTTCTGCAAATTATATAAAATATATACGTATTTCTGATTAGACATGATGAAAATTTGAATTGGGCTGCTGATATGAAGTGCTATTTCAATTAATCGTGGAGCAATCTTGAAATTTTGCTTCAGAAATTCATTTGTTATGTAATTTTAGTTTTATTTCTGGTTTAAATTGTCCACTCTATTGGCTATATCACAACATTGGCTTTATGTACAGACCAATAAAAGCAACACATAAAGTACAATCAAATCTGTCAATTTTATTTTTGACCCAAATGAAAGAGGGATAAAATTGATTGGATAAATATTGTGGGGAGTGTATCAATAATACCTGTCAATTTTCACATCCATTATGTTCACAAGTGTAGAAATAATTTGCAATTTTTTTGGATATATTTTGTTGAGCATGGAACACTTAAAGTTGTGGAACATGATATGGCAATCACTAGCTGTATACATAACAATAAAGCTAGAATACCAATCTTGTTTACCGTCATCGATTAAACAATCACTACCAATTTATTAATTACCAACCAACCAATCAACTTATTCAGACTTTAGAATTACATGTTTACCGATCTAACTGACTGATCATACAACCCACCACTTTTGAATATAGGTAATCACATTTTAATGAAAAAAAATATTAATATGAAATGTGTGGTTGGCAAACTTGCAGAAATACATTAATCAGTTTTCAATGATTGGACATAAAATATTAAATCAATATAGGAATAATAACATTGGGTAATAACACATGTAGAAGCTTCTTGTATTGTCAGAGTGGTCTGTTAAATACTGCATTGTAATAAGTAGAAATATCTCAGATTTAATTTATTCACGATTTTTACTCCAATGATATCACAATTTGCATGCCCCATGTCCTTAAAGGGGGATGAAACTGTCGATTTCGTTGGATCTCTCAGTATTGTTAAATCTGAATGAAATGTAAAATTTATTGAGCTCAGTAAGTTGAGAATTAACTAAAATAAGGAATGTCTGTACTTTGCAATCATACCAATATTGGCATATTTAGAAAACACAAAAAGAACCTAAATAAATTAGTTCTTCAATATGCTCCTTTAATCAAATATAGCCTACACATGCAGCAAGTTTCACTGAATGTATATATATCATTAGCAGCCAGGCCAATATCATATTAGATTATAGATGAAGGGTATAGAGGGAATTTCAGCCTTGCGAAATGAACCAACCAAATATCCTCAGAACAGCAATGTTGCAAAATCTCTTATATAAGGGAAATTCAACAAGCAACAGGCATTCTGTGTTTGGGACATTTATGTTTTGAGAATCCTATTAAAATTTATATTTTATACCCAAGCTTGAGGAATCTCAGTGTTCCAGAAGGATATTTGTAGTCTGACAGTAAAGAAAGACAGGCCATTCTACATGTAACTGGTTTATGGCATATTTGAGAGAAAAGCGTGATGATAGAAATGTTATTAGGAAGAGAGAAAAAGGCTTTAGTTTATCACATTATACTAGTAATGGACTTCAGAACCTCATTACGACAACTTAGGCCATAAATAGATAGGGAATTAATGGATAAAAAAATAATTATCTTCCTAAGCAATAGGTTTCCATGTAGTAATTGTCGAGTCTAAAGCCGACAAAATCAGTTCACAGGTAAGATCAGGCAGTGATAATTTTCTAACAAGACAATTTGCTGCATAAAATCAATGGACTTTGATGCGTGAATAACTTTCCGCCACCGAAGAATTGATTCCTGAAAGAATGTCTTGATAATGCACAATAGGCCACGGCTACCTCATTACATCAAAGTGTTTAGCTCGAGTCAAGAATCAGAATGACTTGATCAGTGAAAAAATGAGGGAAAAATATGAAAAAAAGCTGTAACGACAGATTCCATAATCTAATGTAAATTACTGTCAATCAGCTTTTAATAATTAATGATCAGAGTTTGCCATTATAAATTACATATTTATGTTCAAATCTCACTTAATACTAATCCTTTTTTAATTCTTAAACGCTAATCAAAAAAAAAAATATTATCAGAATAAACAAATCATACTACATAATCTTCTGATGTTGATGTAAGGAGATAGAAATTCAAAATAAAATAACAAAGAACATTGCAAGTGTTAGAAATGTTAAGATATAGTTTTGAAGCAATTACTCTTCTCTTTTTATTTATATGCATTGCTTGTTGGGTTTTTAATTGATATGCCACATTACTTCATTCTGACAAACATTAAATCATATAAGCTAGCTGTCTGCCCTCTATAGGCGTCTTCAGATATATATATATATAGAATAATTATAATTTAATAATATAATAAGTGTAAATAACATTCATAAATAAACACAAATTATGATATATATCTCCTAATAGTTGCACAACAAGCTCTGAATTAAGTGATTAGGGATCAGATGTTATGTAATGGAACAGGTGTTATCAGGTGTTAAAGAGCTGAATACAGGTGTAAAACAAACGTGTTCATTCTAATTATCAACATGTAACATTACAGCAACACTACACCATTTACTTATAGCAGAGCTGAAATATTTCTCTTGGAAAATAAATGTGACTGGTTTTGAGTTTGACTTATTTAGTGTGTGATATCCTCAACGTAGGAATCCATTATTTACAAAGATAAAATAAGATACTTACTTTTCCCTGCATGATCATTCTAATGGTAAGAATTGTGGACGAACTACTATCGTTTTGCACCATTTTGGTCTCTGTTGCCATGACAATTTAAATAAACTATTATAAAATCGGCAGTCGTCTTTGGCTGCACTAGGTTTTAACTGAAAATAGAAAACATAATGAAACTAAATAAAATAAAATACAAGTTGATTTATTATCAGCTATTATCATAAACTGAATTATTGAAATAAAATATAGCGTATTGTCAACAATTCCATACGTAAAACCATCCAAAACAGTTCTACGCATCTGCAACAGGAAAAATACAAGTAGGTGTTAATTCCCACAAGATAAAGATATCTACTTGCGGTAATATCAGAGACTTTTATTCATTTGACATGGTCATCCATCACATGACACAATACATTCTGGTTCCTAAATCTGTCGTCGGCCTTAATAACACCAACATTATCTTAGCCCAATCAATACTGTTAACTTATCAAACCTGGCTGATATTAAGGAACCGCAGATTTGCATAACAAACGTAAGAATAGAGATTACTGTGTAAATCAATGTTAGAGGGAGAGAGATCGCTGTGAAAGACAATGATGTGTAGTAGTAACTTATCGGCTACGTACAATATCAACCACCGTGAGTATCAAAGGTAATTACTTTGTGATGAGATTTTCATAAGACTGGCTATTAATTTTTCTAGACCAATGATTGAGGGCAATACAACCATCTGACTCAAGTCCAGCTAGATAAGGCAGTTTCTCTTATCACATTTATTCACTGATAGTGTTTAATAAAGTGTGAGAGTTGCAAAATTGTATAATACATATCAAAGAGGTCATTATGGTTACAGCTAGAACCCTCTCAATGTGTGGTAAGGGGACCTCCTAATAAATTTAAAGTAATTTTCTTATAGACGGACTGGATGTAAAAAGAACATAAAATGAAGGTAATGGTAAACCATTAGACTCTATCAGACTGTGCCAGATTTTATTGTCTTTTCACCACTTCACTAATACATAGTTACCTTCTTCGATAATACCAGTCATTTCTCTTTTATTAAAAAAAACCCCATGAAGTTAAGCGTAGGTACGTTTAGCCTCAAGCCACAATGGTGAGATCAGATATTAATCTTTCATGGGACAGTCATTGAGTGAGATATGAAATCAAGATATCATCGGAAATAATAAATAACAAGGTGTTCTCGTTCATTACTCTAGCATGCCAGACATTTCATCAATCTAATAAAGGGTATTATAAAAGGCTTGCACTGTAGCCAAATATATCGTTTACGGGGACAAACTTCAGGAAATTTGGTCATACAGGGGTCTATAAGACAAGCAGACTGAAGACGATAATTACAGTTAAGTCGTGCTGAGCACCTTTCATACTCTAACAATAGATAATTAATTTTCCCTAGCTTTTGTGCAACCATGATTTAGTTGCCATGACGAAAGTGGTTTGTTTAGCTTTCTTCTATGGTCATTTTCATCATGCGTGATCTCAGAGACGGAAATTGTGTACTAAGGTCTAGGAGTAATCGCTTTTTGATCAATAATTTTTCAGGTGCGATTTCATACTCTGTCTATGTATTGATTTTTTGGGTGTTTTTATTTTGTAATATTCAGCCACAATACAGAGTCAAGAGCATGCTTATTTTTCACTGTGAAAATTAATTACATGTACTTGAATAATGCTGTAGGAAAGATTTCAGTGGATAGCAGACAGTGTATACAGTTGAAGTATGTGGACAATAGGCATATAGAATTACAACTTCAAACATAAATGTGTATCATTCTTTCTTGAATTAATTTTTACTTTAGTATGTACTACTGAATTTCCCAGTTTGCAAAAAAAAATTATTTAATATTTTTTCTTTCAAAAAAGGAAAGATTTTTTTCAATTTTGATGATAAATTTGAGGTGACAAATGTTTCCTCTTTAGTTCATCAATGGTCACTGGTTGGATCTTGCACTTGTACATATGACAAGGAATAGAGTTTTCTGTCCATCTTTGGTTTCTCTGGGTATTCCAGTTTTCACCTACTTTCAAAGACGCCTATGTGCAAGCAAATTATTGAAATCAAATTACTATACATTAGTCCTGAAATGACCTAGTTACTGTTGAGTGGTCACCAACCATTTTTTTTCACTCTATCATTTTATAAAGTAAATTTCTTACATACATTAACATGGCACCCTTTAAAGATGATATAAAGATAAGAATTTTAGCCTTACAACCGTTATGAGCAAGTTGATCATTCTCTAACTTATCGTAAATCTCAATATTTATGACTCTCTTGTCAGATTTCTGCTTTTACATTTCATTTTATCAATCTTGATCTATATGGTGAAGAGACAAGTTATTCTCTTCCCAGCTCTTAATTCCCAGCTTTTTTCTACTGCGGGTGCTGACAAAATGTGTGAGTAATATTCCATCGGTGCTTGCTTCTAGCACAGTTTGTGAATAATGATCAGATCTTACAAGTCCTATAATTTAGTAGGGTTTCATAAACCTATAAAACTACCATAAAACATCTTTGAAGGATTTTAATCTGCCAGCTTGTAACTCTAGCATACATAAAGTCAGAACATATTATCAAAGCTAATGGCTTGCTACAAACGAGATCTATAGTGAAGAACATGGTTAAAGAAGAGGGTAGAAAAGATATTATGTCTATCATTGCTGGAAGTCCCGTGGAATTCTGAAAGGTATTGCATATAAAAAAACTTGTCTGTATCCATGTTGCTTGACTTTTATCAACAACTGAATAAAGTTATCTAATACTAATGACATAAGTTCAATTTTTAACTTATCTTATAAAATACATTAAAAAATATTTTGTTCTGACATATTGATCATTTCCTTCAGCAATATGGAACAGTTTCTTCAGGAGTAAATTTACTCTCATGCCCATTGGAACAAAATTCATATTGGGGGGCTGTCAGTGCAGCGAGCCAAAATGGGTTCTGGGGGAAAGATGCTGAATGTTTTGAAATTTCTGCATATTAAATTCTCTACCATCTGTTTTCAAGAGGAAAATTGATACACTATAATATTGATATTTTTGAAATATAATGGAATTTGTAAGAGATTAAGGAAAGAAAATAGAAGACTGTGTATTAAGGAATGAATAATCTATGGGATTTCTAATCCTGACATCATAAAATTACAATATATTGTGCTATACACCTACCTAGATATGTATTTATAATATATTCTATGTGTCACATCAGATACGATATAGTGGTGATTATAACACTGATAAGAACAAAGAATATGTATTTTTAGCATTAACTGGGAAATAAATGTAAAGGCGACAATCATCATATCCAGCATACCACATATAAAATGGATAATATATTTTTCAATTCCATAAATGTCAACATGTCTGATAATAACCTATTTTGATAGAAAATAAATAGAATAGGAGAAGATTTCAACTACTAAACCATTTTTGCACAGATTCAACATGCAAGTAAAATGACATATCCTATATCTGAATGTATTACCAGATTTCAACGGTACTATAAGATCAAAACTACACAGAAGGCAAACCACAAAATAAATTATCACCATGATTTAGATGAAATATAATATAAATTTCAAGACTGTTACAAATAAACTTCTTACTACAAGTAGTACTGAGTGGAAGAATCCGTAGAACAGTGCAGGTTAGCATGGATTTCAGTGATACCCTACGAGCGAAAAGGAAGAAATCCTTTGAAAATAATCCCAAAATATAATCTCCTACCAACACACTGACAAGATTGTAGCAGAAGTTATTAAAGTTGATAAAGGTCTACTGCCCTGTTGCTAGGGGATTATATTTTGGGATGAAATATAACAGTGTCCTGTTCGACAATGTAGTCAATTGCAAGAATTCTGGTAGAATTATTATTATACCCAACTCTATGTCTGTAAAGCATCAGTAATTAGTATTCACCAACTATTATTTGATACACATTAAGCAGATGGCATCAGTATGGTCATCATGCATATCCATACTTGATGGAATTTGGACAATTAATTTCTACAAACCAAATATTTAGAATTCACTCTCAACAGCCCCCTGTCCTTTCAATGATTGCAATTCCTTGATTCCACACATACAAGTACTGTAAACAGACCACAAAATGTCTGTCTATAATACACTGACCTTATTTAAATTATTATAAGATCCCAGCATGATCTATTGACTTGATGTAGAAAATTAGTTGTACATTAATTTAAAAGAGCTGTCTGTTAATTAACTCCATCTTTTACAGTCATTAACAATTAACCTTCACAATCAATCTAGGTCCCTTGCTTGTTGATCAACAAAATAATGGAAGCAATTAATCAATTATCACCTTCCTTTATGCTATTTTAATGTAATCCAAGCAGGGGATTAATTAATTCCATCTTTATCTTTTACTAAACATCTTGGATCAACATTGTAAGAATTCAAGATGGTGGTAACAATAGTCTTTATCTTTTAAATAAATATAGATAAAATTGACACATTAAGCTGAAACAAATGATCTAAACCCACGGCTTTTAAGAATATTAAGTTACCCAAGTACATTGTACCTATTAATCGAAATCGACAGTATTTATTATCAATATAGCAAAGTACAGTCTTTGATATCAGTGTTAGTTTTATTTTATGTATAGATTATACCTTCAGGGTAATTAATTATAATGACTATTATGATGATGTATATATACTATATCTTAGATAAATGCTACCCCTTATTCAAACTGTTCTATAAAGATTACAATATTATTTGTATGAATATCTACTAAGTCTAAAAAATAATTTTTCATTTGTTCTTTTTGATTGCTAAATCTATAAGACATACTGAAAAGCCAAACAGTAATTAACCTTGAATTATATAAGATTAATAAGATCATTTGTTCCTGGAGTTTTACGTCCACTTCCACAAAGTGTGATATCATAGACAAGTAATATAAGACAATTCAATCACTATATTATATACTATAACAATGATATACAAAACAATACACATTGTTGGTTTCCTTAATACACAATGTAAAACACTACATACTTAATACACACAATATATACACCATATACAGCAAAGTACACTGGTATTGTAAAAACAAACTAATACACATTTACATAGAAATATATTCAACTTGATTC